AAGTACCATTTATTTAATACTTAATTGCGCTTAAGAAACTCTTCGAGAAGTTCTATTATACGAATTTAATTTATAGTAATATTGTAACACTACTAAACCTGATTATTATTTATAATAGGGCGATTAGGGGTATCGATAGTTATAGGGTTACTAGGGGTAGTACTACTATTATTAGAACCGGAGACTATATAAACGATAATATAAATATAAATTGCGGTTTAGAGGTTAATAATTAGGAATAAAATATTAATTAAAAAAGAAGGGCAAGAAAAAGGAGGATATAGAGTTTATAGGAAGTTAAAAGGAGGTAAATCTTTTAATAATAATGTTATGAAAAGTATTAGGACTGGTAAATTTTTAATTAAATTTTAAATTTGCAGCGAAATTTAAAATATAGTAAAGGTAGGGGATTTTACAAATAATATTAAATAGCTTAATATAAAGATTAAGAATAATAAAACGGATAAATATATTAGTTTTAGGGGATTTGGAGATTTAGATTACTATAAAGGATATAAAAAAAAATTATAAGCTTTAAGCAAGCCGGGGCTATAAAATTAAAAGAAATTATAGAGCCCGGAAATACTTTTGAGGAAGAGACTTTAGGGTCAGAGGTAAAGTCGATCGGGTTGGGATAATTATAATTAGAGGAAGCTATTTTAAAAGACGTTATAATAGGAAAGAAGGAAAGTAGGAAGAAATTAGGAAGGGGCGCTATAGGAAGGATTATATAATTAGAAGAGAAGGCCCTTATATTATTATAAATAGGGGTAGAACCGAAGGTTAGGAAGTAAAAGGACGGGGTAGAGGTAAATATAAATAAAAGTAACGAAACGGAAAGGTAGGGATATAAATAGGAAAATAAAATAGAGAAACGGGAGGAAGGTAGAAGAAAGGGTAATAAAAGTTGAGAAGGAGAAGCGGTAAAGGAAGGCGACGTCCCTAACTATATCCCTATTATTCTTATTATTCTAGTATTAGGATAATATAGTAAAGGAAAAAACGAAATTAGTTTGCTATAGCGGTGGGAAAGAACCGTTATAGCTATAAGTAAAGTAGGAATAATATAAGTAAATTACAACTGAAATAAAATTAAGGGTTTTTATCCGGCGGCGTTTAACGCCGTACGGTTTTCCCCTCTAGAGAACTAGAGAAGGACCCTATACCAATAAGGCGCTATAGTTATATAGTTAGGGTAAAAGAATATTATTAACCTTTAAAGCTAATAGTCTTCTTTACTAAAGAAGTAAATTTCCACTTCCTCTTTATAAAGCCTAAGCCTTCTATCTTTAATAATATTAATTATAATCCTGACGTACGCGTAATTAAATAGGGTAATATTAATTTACAATAACCGTAGTTTAGAATAACTTCTATTATAAAGTAGGAAGTAAATTTAGTAATAGTAATTGCAGGCTAGTTAATCTTATTAATACGAATATTAATTTAATTTATTAATTAGAAGATTTAAAGGGGGAGAAGTCAGAGAGGGAGAAATTAATGAGGGGAGAAGGTGGGTCGAAATTTGTATTTTCCTTACTAATTATTAGTTTAGATTATATAGTACTTTTGAATTATTGAGACGGAATAGTATAATAGCTAGTAAATATAATTGCGATAGTTCTACCACCTTCTAATTTATTAGAAAATTGAAATCATATAGCGGAGTATAATAATATTAACAGGTAATTATTTATTTATTTATTTTATAATTATCTTCTAAGTAATTTTAGCCGGCGTAAATATACTAGAGTTGAAATAGATTACAGGGTGTTATATAAGTAACTACTATATTTTACCTACTATAATCGGCTAGTAAGTAGTTACAATAGCGGGGTATTATTAATAATAATATTATTTTAGTACTTTCTCTATTCGTAAATAGTTTTAAAAGACTAAATAAAATAGCGGGGTATTAATAGCGATAGTCTAGTAAATATAATAATAGAGGTCATAGTATTAATTTTATATTCGGTATAGGGTAGGTTTGGAAGGCGGTTAATTATAGGGACGGGTAGTAAATATAAGGTACCCGATCTTAGTAGGAGGTTGTTTGGTATAAGAAAGGGTTTATTTAGACTTTATTATAATTAATAATATACAATTCATAATTTACTATAATTTATAACTTATACCTTACATTATATTTAGTAGGTACTTGTCTAATCGGTACAATATAATAGGGTTTTAGTTTCTGGAATATACTATCGAATTCCTAAGTGGCCTTATAGAATTTAATTTTTTAATTTTAACTCTTCCTTTTATATATAACCCCTATCCGTTATTTTTAGATCTAGTTATATTATTAGCCTCTAATTGTTTTATTTAGAGAAACTCTACTCGCACGTTGAAGAAACTCTATTCGTACGTAGATCCACCCTCTTCCTCCATACCCAACCCTAACCCTATAGACCCCCAGACCGACCCGCACCCATCTGGTATATACTGCGCCCGCTAAGCTCCTAGATTTCAACCTATTATACCCATTTAGGGGTTGTACTAGCCACCCTCGTACTGCACTAGCCACCCAGCCAGTCTAACTTAGCAATTATTCTAGCATATGCTTCGTTACATTACTTCCTCTACTAAACTACACATTACCCTCGTCACCCTCAATCAATTTACTACATTATATTTCGCTAATTATTATTAAGTTAATAAAGCGCTATTATTCAATCGACGGTACAGATCCATCTATTACTTTTCAGTACATTTCCCCAACTAACCGTAATGCAGATAGCCGATACAGCGACCTAACCCGCGTACGACTATAGCGCGGGTAACTACCCCAGTCAAACAATCGACCTCTCCCTCATCGATCCTAGACTAAAACCCTCAATAAGCACTACCTTAATCGAGCCCCCCTCTACGCAGCCAAAGCCTATAGAGATTAATAGTAGTAACCCTAATAATAATAATAATAGTAATAGTTACAATAAGCCTTATCCTCTCTTTACAACCTAGTATAACAATTTCGATAACCTTGTTAAAGTAATTAAAGAGTAGGGTAAAGAGTACTCGTCTGGGCTAGAAACGCCTCAGACCCTATGCGCTAGCACGGGGTCTGGTTCAGCGATTAGCAAAATTACCTGCGATTAGCAAAAAAAATCGAGAGACTTACTCCACCACCCAAATTACTAACAAATCAAAGTACCAACGTTTTGTCGCATAACTACATCATAGCCAGAATCACCTTTTTTATTCTAATTACCGCGCTATATCACTAACTATAGCCATAGTATTCTAGCAGTCTAAAATATTGTAATTATTCGTAATTATACTCAATATTATTGATAAATCCCTCCTATTACTCTTTGCCCTTATTGGCCAGCTTATTAATACTATTATTTTCAACCTTAATTATTTAATTAGCAGGCGGGTTAAATACTATAAGGAATGCAATAATCACCTCCTCTACCAGTACCTCTCTCTCTTTATTATAAATTTATAGTAGTAATAAAGGTCCTTCTAGTACTTAGTTGTATAGAAGCTGTATATTATTAATTTCGCGGCCTTCTTATATTATTTATACTATAATTGCCTCCTTTTTGTTATTATTAAACCTTTTCTAATATATTCTCTTAAATTCTCAATATTAAATAAAAAATATTCTTTATCTTTTAATTATTCTAGTAATAGCTTTATAATATTGTTCTGTTTAGTACGATTCTTGCCTTCTACTTTTAATTATATTCTAGTAGTCTTTATCTACTTTTTACGATCCTTCTTAAAAGTAATAATCTACTTACGTAGAATAATCCTCTTAATATTAATAGTCTTCTTTCTAATGCGGTTTGTCTCCTTTTAGTATATAGGGATATAGTTGTTATTATTAATTATTAGTCGAAGACGAGTATTATTAATGGTAATTGGGCTAGTTCTTATAATTAGCCAGTTAATTGTAGAGCGGGTATTCTTTTTAAAGGTATCTTCAACCTCCTTCCTTCTCTTCCTTTTATTAGCCTTTATATTAGATATTGTTATTAATAAAAGACTAAATTGTACTTTATTTCCCTTAGTTATTATATACTTAGTCGTTGGGTTTAATAGTATATTATTAAATTTAGTATATTAAATACTATTATTAAAACGACGCCGAAACCGGAAACGCCGATTTCTGGTCGAGGAGTGCTCCAAAACGAAAATTAATAATAATAATCGACTTAGGAGGGTCGTTTACATCCCTTACGATATCCTATAACGAACGCAACGATAGTGTTGTATCGTCGTTACTAATAATTATAAATAGTAGTACTTATAGGTTTAAAAATAGCGTCTATAATTTACTCGCAAAAATTTCTGTATATAATAACTTTAAAACTATATTTATTGCAAAGACTTCGGACTAAATAAAGGAAGATAATAAAATATTAAAGAAGTTTATTATTAGAGCGAATAAGTCTACGGATTATAATATTATTTTAATTAAGGATTAATATTAGGTTCGAGAATTACTTTTCGAATTTACATAGATTTATATTAGAAAAAGTAGGTTTATATAATTCGAGGTTAATAAGGCTAGAACCGACTAATTTATTACTAAAAAGGATTTTGATAATTTAAAGAAGGATATTTTAAAGGAGATTAGAAAAAGTATTTAAAAGGTACTAAAATAATAGACCGATATTGTAGCGAAAACCATCCCAAATAAAATTAGTACTACCCTCTAATAATTACCTATTATTATTAGTAAAAAATTTATTACCTCTAGTTTCGAATAATAATTTACTATTAAGGGAATAATTATTACTATTAAGTTTATAAATTATTCGAATGAAAATACAAAGATAGTTGTAGTAACGACCCTAGGCCGGAAGAAATTAAATTTAGTAGTTAGAATAGTTATTCGGATATTATCGTTTAGAAATTATATAATTATTTTTAATAAATCTATATATAATTAATATTAGTAAAATTAAATATAAGTTATAAAAGTCTTTAGTAAGGAGGCCTTTATTATTATAAATATTATAAGCGTACTAATCTAGGGCGTATTTTAAAATAGTATTAATAATTATGTTATATTGAAAGTATTAATAAATATAGTAAGGAATAAGAATAAGAAGGTAATTATTATAAGAGTTCAGCCTCGGAAAAAAAGGGACGGAGAGAATAGAAGTTTATTCCTAATAGAAGTCGCTACTTCGAAGGCGGCAAACTTCCTTTAAAATAATTTCTTCTTTTAAAATAGTAATATATATATTTTACGAACCGTTCTAAACCTCGAATAATATCTAATAGTAATTTAAATATTAAGGAATTAGATATATAATGAAATTCTATTATTAGGAAAATATTTACGCCTAATATAGTAAAGTTAAATACAAAGGAGATTATTTTAGTAAAATAAATTATTTATCAAATAAAAATAAATTGTTTATTTATTATAAATTATATAGGAAGAAGAGATATTTTATTTATAATTATAAGGAGTACCCCCTTTTTTGGAAGGCTATTATAAAGGCGTCTATTATATATACTAAAAGGCCGCGGGCATTTGCCCTCCTTTATAAAAAGCCGGCCGGAAAAGTATTAGAGCTAGTAATAGAAATTATAAATAAAGGTAATTTATTAAATACCCCTCCTAATTCTTATACTATTACTATTTTAGAGAAATAAATTGGAAGAAGCGTAAAAAGAGGGCGACTAAAAAAAATCGTTAGCTCAACCCCCCGACCGAAACCCTTAGCCTAATAAAGTCTAATAAATATATATTATTTATATTCCTAGAACGTAGAAAATCGGACGTATAATAGTATTAGTACTTATATAATTAGAATTCCCCTAAGGGAAGTAATACCCTTATTTTCTATTAAGGGACTTATAGGAACCCTATTTTAAGGTAATCAATAATCTAATTAAAAATATTCTATTAGAATATAGGGAAATTATATAAAAAAGGGAAATTTCTATTTGAATAAGAAGAGGCTTATAATGTTATAGCAATTTAAAAGCCGGGTAGAAATTTAAATAGGGATATTTACCGTCCTAAGGGTAGGAGGTATTTTGGAATCGATTATTTAAAGAATAGAAGGGTAGTAATATATATTAATAAGAAATAAAATTTAAAGGACTTTAATTTCTAAGCCGGAAGGGATTGGACTATAGTAATATTAAAAAACCTAAGGGATCCTACGATTATTTATTCTATTTATTTACCTATTTTAATATAAGGAATATTAAAATACTAATAGGGATACCTACTTTTTAAATTCCTTGAGGCCGGGCCCCTAATAAGAAATTAAATTATTATTATCGGGGATTTTAATTTCTATTTCCCAATTAGGATTTGGAGAATAGGATTAGCCTAAAGGCTATATACCTCTTTATATAAATATAATATTAGAACTTTAATTTATTTACCCCTTATAGTAAATTAACGAAATTTAATAATATAATATAAATAGAGAGAAATAGAATAATTAATTATATATAATTATTACCCGGGGTTAAAGTCGAATATTAAAGAGTATAGCGGTACGAATAAATTAATTCCGACTATTACCCTTAGGAAATTTAAGTTTAAATAGGAAAAAAGAATAGGAGGGTAGAAGAAGAAGGAAATTATAATTAGAATTTTATAAATATAATAAAGGTAAAGGAGGTAGTAGAAAAATAGATTTTAGTTTTAAAAAGGATTAATATTATAAAAAAGTTCGAATAAGGTTTTTGGAGGTTCAATAGAGAATTTATTAATATTATAGAAGAATTCGGCCTATATTAAAAGAAAGGTTAAAGAAGGAAAGTGAATTAATAAATATTAGAATATAAAATAGTTATAAAGGAAGCGTAGCGGAAGTATTGGATGTAATTTAAATATTAAATATTATTAAATTAGAGGTAGTTTATTAAAATAATAATAAAAAAGAAGAAAATTATTTTGAAAATATAGCGGGCTACGTAGTACGAAGGCGTCGCTAAAGCCTTAAAAAACCCAAATTGATTCTAGCCTTTAAACAAATAGGCCCGGACTTAAAATTATTATTTAATAGACCTACTTAAATTATTAGCCTTCCAAGTTAATAAAAGGGTAATAAAAATCAAAAATTATAATAGTAAAGCTAAAATCCTTATCAATTATTTCTTCTTAAGGGTAAATATTGTAATAGAATATTTACTGGATTGGATTAATTTAATAAATAGCGTTAATCTAATAGTTATTAGTAAATTAATTATTAAAGAAAATATTTAAAACGTCCTCTCCTAAATAGTATTTAATAAAGCCTTAGGTATTGATTAGTATTTAAATAAATTTCCAAAATTATACGAGTAACCATTCTAATAAGTAATAGTATATTTGGTAATTATTAGCTTCCGTTTCGGATATTTCCTATAACGGTTTAAGGATTTAAAAGTAATTATTTTTAAAAAGTTTAGAAAAAACGCTATTTAATAAAAATTAGTAAGTATATAGAAATTTATATTATTATTTAATAATATTGAAAAAATCCTCAAAGCCCTCGTAATTAAGAGATTTATATAAATAATTAAAGAATTTAACCTTTACTAGAGGGTTAAATAAGTAATTAGATAAATTATTCAATAGAATTTATAGTCCGGGTAATTATTAATATAGTCTATATAGTTTAAAAATTTAGAATTGTAATATCCTTTATACTCTTCGATCTAAAGGGCGTATTTAATAAAGTTAATTATAAATAGCTTTTATATATTTTATAAGAAATATAATTCCTAATATAGATTATTAAGTAAATAGTAAGCTTTATTATTAATAGGAAAAGTGTTTTCTTTTTTAATAATAAAACGTTTCGCCCCTATACTATTATAATAGGCGTACTTTAAAGCTCCCCCCTCTTACCTATTTTATTTATTCTCTTTATTACTTTATTATACCGGAAATTAGTAATAATCCTAAATATAATTATAGTCGGTTTTCTAAATAATATCAATATTATTGTAATAGTCTATACTATTAAAGAAAATTGCCGGATCTTATAGGTAATATAAAAAATATATTCGGAATAGGTTGGGGTGAAAGATATAGAATTCGAAGCAAGTAAAATAGAATTAATATATTTTATACGGATAAAGGTACTAAGGACGGAAGTTTTCTAATTTTGGGATATAATATTTTAATTAATAGAATTAATAAAATTCCTAAGGGTTTAACTAAATTGTAAATTTAATTACCGGATTGATATAGAAGTAATAAAATAAAAAATTAAGATTTAAATAAATATATTTATAAAATTAATAGTAAAAATATAGGGTTGTTCTTTTATTCGGGTAAGGGAAATATATACTAAATATATTTATAATATTATTATATACAGAGCCTTAAAATCCTATTAATTAATTAAAATTTATAGGAAATTATAAAGGATCATAATTAGATTAGTAAAATACTAAACTAAGTATTTAAGAATTATTATTAGGGTGTATAAAACTATATTAATACGGAATTTAAAAATAAAAACCTTTTATTTACTATTCGATTTTTATTTAAATAAAAGAGTCCGGGCCTTCGAAGAAAGGCTCGTTCGTACAGACTAAGTAAAATTCGTCTGGGGAATAGTAATTTAGGTAATTAATTATATTCGGATATAATAAATTAGAAATTAGTTATTTACTAATAAATTAGAGAATAGTATGATTAAAATTAAATAAATTAAAACGTAAATACTAATAGAAAAATTATTAGTAATTATAATTGGCCTCCCTCCGGAATTAGGGTCCCCGCTACTACTATTATAAATCCTAAAACCTATAATTATTAATAGGAAAAAAATAATTAGAGGATATAATAAATGGAAAATAAGTATTGTACTATAACTATTGATTAATATTAATAGCAGTTAAATTAAATTAGTAGTATAAATTTACTATTACCGACCTTACTCTTAAATTTAATAGCGAAATTATTTAATAATATATAGTTAATACGAAGAAAGAAAAGAAAAAGAGGGGAATTCGAATATTAGAAGAAAATAATAATAAATTATATTTATTAATTAAAGCGAAGAGCTCCTTCCTAATTTAAGTTAAAATAGAGGTTATAAAACTTTAGGCTTTTCTCTTCCGGAGAAAGGTATTAAACGTTTAAACGCTTATTTATACCTATAAATTAAAAAAAGAGACCTTTATTTATATTATTCTAAACTACCTTAATACCGAAGGCTTTTTCTAATTAAATATTAAGAACTAATTATTAACGAAAGAAGAACTCTAGAATTATTTAAATAATGGAATTAAAACCGAAAAAATTTTATTATAAGTATTAAAGTTAAATAAATTAAAGGAATATTATTTAATAATCAAATTAGAAGAGGAGTAATATAAGGAATTTACGAAGTATTTTTAAAGAGGGAATAAATTATTAATAATATTAGAATAAAATAATAAAGGGATAGGGAGGAAATAATTATATTAACTATAAATACTATTTATATTATAATTATAGTAAAAATTGAAATACTTCTTATTTAACGCTTAATTACGTTTAAAAAACTCTTCGAAAAGCTCTATTATATAAATCTAATTTATAGTAATATTATAATACTATTAAACCTAATTATTATTTATAATAGGGCAGCTGAGGGTATTAACGGTTATAGGACTATTAGAGGTAGTATTATTATTATTAAAACCGGAGATTATATAAGTAAGAATAGTTATATTATTACTATTAGGATTAAATATAATACATACAGGAATAATTATACTACTATTAGAATTAAAAGTAATATAAACCGGACTTATTATATTATTAATACTAGGGCTAGAAGGAGTATAAATATAGAAGATATCCTTTATATATAATATATAATATTCTTTCTACTAGAAAATAATAGTATTATAGTATAGAATATAGGGAAGGTTAGTAATATTATTCGGGAGATTATTTTATATTAAATAAATATATATATACTTAGTAAATTATTAAATAGTACGAACAAAAGTATTTAATCTTCTATAATATTTAGCCGGGCTATTTAATATTATAATAACAATTACGGATTAATTAGTATTATAAGTATTATAAAGATTAATAAGAATATTTAATATATATTTACTAATAGTATAAATATAGGTTATAGTTTGGAAGTTAATAATTAGGAATAAAATATTAAATAGAAAAAAAGGGCGAAAAAGAGAAAAACTATAGAATTTATAAATAATTAAAATAAAGTGAATTTTATTAGTAATA